AAAAGAAAATCCTTGAGTGAGAATTAAAAAATAGATAAAAACCAACAGGGCGCCCTGGGAAGCAGGCCATCCTCTGCTTGCTTACGCGCTCCTGGAGCATAGGAAGTTGGTGCCGCTCACAGGCCCAGGAACAGGGAGTTAAGAGACCCTAATGTTTGCAAGAGCTCCTTCTCCACACACAGCCTGCCAAGGGGTCCGACACGCCATGCCCCACGCCCCCCAGGGCTGGGCCAGTCTAGGTGGCCCCAAGTCAAAGACTATTGCTAAGCAGAGGGCGAGAGAAAACTCTCCCTTCCCAGCAGGGGGGTCCCTCTGGAACTGAAAACCAAGGCATTTTGTGACTCTCCCCTCTGGCCCCTAACAGACCATCTGCCAGAAACACGCAGGGAGTCCAATCACTCAGATACAGAGATGTGACTCTCCACACACCTGCAGCAGAAAAGGAGGTTTTTACTTTTCAGACATAACTGGACATCGTTGTTTATTTTTAAACAGTATCTGAACAAGAGATGCTGTTCATTTCACTGCCAAACGGGCAGAAATGGTAAACGAAGGGGGGGCTGGCCCCGACGCTGCCTGGAGGTATCCTGCCCCCCCCACCCACCCACCACCCACAGCGGCCTTTTTCCAAGCGTGCAGGGCCAGCCTCAGTGGCAGGCTTCTTGCGTTTACACATCCAAATGAACAGTTAAGAGAAATCAATGCATCTAATTGCCAGACTATTAAATCCTACATCAGGGGAAGAATTCCACAGCCACCAGCTTAAGAGTTGGCTACCGATACAGCAATTATTGCAACTTTCATTTAGACTGAACCGGGTCTCCAGCCTTTCATCCCCAGCCAGGGCGCGGCGCTCAGAGATGCTGCCCTCCGGTCTCCCTCCTCCTCCGCGAAGGCGCTGTGGCACGCCACACCAGTGCCAGGTCACGGATTCTGCCGGATGACCTGCCGACTGTAACGTCGCCAGCACTTTGCCCCTTTCCTTATTAACACCCCCTCGGCCCCTGTACGGTTAACCGGTTAGCAGGGCCCCCTGCCAGAGGCACATGGTCACCTTTATGTTATCGCGAAGTTTCGCAAGGAAACAGGTGTAAGAATCTAAACGGCAATTCCAGCCGAAAAGGATGTTTCTGAGGGTGAAACAGGCCCTTCCAAAGCTGGGAGGGGTGACTTCATTGAGGAAGGGAGTGGTGGTTAAATATTGGGGGAGGTGTCAGCCGCCCTAATCCACAGGCCAAGCTAAAGAACCTATAAAGGATTTGTTTTGCCCTTCCTACAAGATCATGTACATTTAGCCAAACAAATCTCGACAATTTACACTTGTATGTGGTCTCAGCTGAATCAAGAAACCTGTAACCTCAGAACGCCTCTATTTATTACATCTCAATTATTTCCATGGAAACACAAGCAGCAGAGAGCTACACTGTTCCCAAGTCCCCAGACCACCAAATTTGGAAGATGGACTTTCAAGGAGGTGCGGGCTGGCGGGGGGCGGGGGGCACCGAGGAGGGGAGGGGAGCACAGAGGAAGCACTTGGGGGTAGTTTTGGATGTTGGGGCGGGGGGGGGGGGGGCGCGTGGACACAGCCTCACTGCTAATTAATATTAAGAACTGTAATTAACAGGCTATTGCTAAATGGAGCAAATTGACAGTATTACCAATTATTCAAAAGTTGGGAGCTGAGACGGGGACAAGAGGCATTAACTTTCTGTATAAACCAAGAGGACTTGGTTTCTGTAGAAACCAAGATTCTGTATAAATCTGAGGAGGTCGTGCTGGTGCAGGGAGACAGGGGTGCCAACGCCCAGCCAAAATAACATCAGAAAGAGGGGACAAGACCAGCCCCCAGGATGAGGCCGCAATTTCAAAGGGAACCAACTGGGGCACTGCCGCACCACAGCACCTGGAAACCAGAGAGGGGAGAACGGTGCAGGGAGGGAACAGCCGTCAGAAAATGCGACTTTTGTAACGTGCATGGTTTGGGGGTTGTTTTTTTTAAAAAAGAAAAACAAACAAAACACGAGGCTTTTGAAAACCCCCTGCCCTACTGGCCCCGTGCCCCACCCCCCTTCGCTGGGTGTCCTCCGGGGCAACTGGATTTTCCCAGAAAAGAACAAACATCCTGGGGGACAAGCGACCCCACGCCCAAAGGGAGGCTGCGCCCATGAGCGGGAAGTGACCCCAGCCGGCCCCCCAGAAGCCTGTCTGGCTTTCAGAGCTGCGGGGCCTGCACTTTCAAATCGCGCTTTCGGAGCATCCATTAGAAACTGTTATATTTCTGTCTTTCCTCCCCGCTACGGGCTTTCACGTTTCCGAGATCAATTACAAATTACAGTCAAGCAACTTGGGTGCAGGCTGGGGAAGTCCACAATGCCTGAGCCCAGACACACAGCCGGGGAGGCAACAGAAAGCAAAACAAAATTGAAAAGGCACCACTGTTTCTTAAGGAGCACCTTGAAGCATCTTTAAAGGTGAAGACCCGTCGTTTTAAATGCCTGGTGGGCAGCTGTCCTCACGCAGGCGTACTGCCTGCGAAGGGGTGGGGGGCAGTCCTTAAAAAGCCATAAATCCATCACCTGCTGCAACTCTTACCTATTCAAATTCTCTTCTCTCTTAATTCCTCCCTTGGTAAGTGGCTACATCTCCACCCTATTCACCCCAGTACACTCAATAAAAAACAAAATGGTAAGAGGCCAGAGTTGTAGCTGCTTTGGGAAAATGCGAAGAACCCCAGGGAGAAAGAGGGGATCTCCGATTCCAAGGGCAGGAGGGTGCTGTGTGGTCGATATTTACACCACTTCTCAAAAATGCCTACACTGGTCCTGTCTCCGCTTTGCCATCTTCCCCAGCCCCTCGCCTCCCCTCCCCCCGCCCCACCAATTAGCTTGAATTGTCTCCTATCCATCCACATATACACATTTCGAGTCACTCATTTAAAGTCACATCAGGGTTCATTTCACGAAAGGCCGAAGACCAATCCGTGAGTCTTTCTCGCAGATGCACAAAGTAGTTTCAGAATCTGGGCCGGGCAACTGCGAACCATCCGCCCATCTGTCCCCTGCGAAGAGCTCTACCCTGGCTCGCTGTGTCTCACCTCCCACAACGAGGAGCTTGGGAGGCCCCGGTGGATGTCAGAGGCGAGGAGGCCCTGCCTCTTCCTTTATGAAAAATCTGCTCCTATACACAGACTTAACTCGAACATCAACGGCCCGAGTTAAATGAAGCTGATTTCCCAACCAGAGGCGCTGATCCTACATTTTCTTCTGGGCCACCTTAAGCAGCTCTGGGAGCAGCGAGCCAGAGAAAGAGAGGAGAACTCAGACAGAATTTCAGACCTCAGAGCCCCCCTGTCCAGCCGAAGGACAAACCTCTACCCTCTCCCTGTCCCCTACTTGGGGTCCCTCTCTTCTGGCTTCCTTGTCTGCCGTCAGAACACCCTCCGAACCCCCCGTTCTGGGGGTCCGGCCAGGCTGTCCCCGATCCGGTCACCTGCCAGGGGAAGGGGACAGAAAGCAACTTCTCTCAAGGAGAAAGAGGAACGGCAACAGGGGGCGGGGGCTGAGAGTTCGGACTGAGTTGGGCTTCTCGGGCGGCCAGGAAGGCTCCGCTGAGCAGGGTGCCAGCAAATCTCCAGCAAACCTCCGGGGGCTCTGGGAGCGCAAGGGTGGGTGTCTGCGGGCCGGCCGCCTAATTCAGTCCCGGCCATTCCGGCCAGGAGCGAGGCTGGCAGGAAGGGAGCCGGGCCCCAGCGCGGCTCGCAGGCCTCCAGGAAATGAACTTTTCAGAGCAGAACTGGGGCTCGGGCCAGAGGTCATCAGGGGAGTTGGGAGCAGACAAGGGCCGCGGGGCTTTTGGCTCCAGAGACTCAGCTGCTGTCATCCTCTCTCTCCTCTCTCATCTCCCAGGGCAGCTGGGCACCAACCCGAGGGGCTGGAATGGGGACAAAGCAGCAGGCAAGGCCAGGAGAGGCCAGCCCTGGGGAGAGGAGGGCAGGGGAGGGGCTCCGCCGACCACGGCCTCTCCCTGGGGCCCCGGCTCTCCAGGGGCCCACTCCAGCCGGGGGCCCTCGGTGGAAATAGAAAGCAAAGCAAGGAGACGAAAGGGCGCGCGCGCGCGCTCGCGTGTATCTGTCTGACTGTCCCCACAAACGCGCGCGCTCCGGGGACCCACACTAGAAGCCGGCCTGAGTGCCCAGGGTGCGGTACGGACTCGCGGGGACGGGTCCCGGGCGCCCTCCACGGAGGGGCGCGCACGTCGGTCGCTGCGCTCCCCTGGGGACCCGCGTCCCGCCAGCTCAGCGCAGACAATGAACTCCTGGCGGAGGCTTCGGGCCAGGTTGGCCTCGGTGGAGGAGGCAGGAAGTGCGGGGGCCCCGAGCCGGGTGTGCGGCACGGCCAGGGGGCACCCGGCGGCCGGGGCGCCTGCAAGCAACGCCCGCCACCCCCAGCGTCCCGGGGCGACGAGATGGGCGCCGAGGGAAGGCGGCGAGGTCCGCGGCCCGGCAAGGGCGGCCTCGGAGCTGCCGGCCTCCCGGGCGTCCGGCCTCGCCGCCTCTTCCTTCCTCCGCCCGCCCGCCGCCGCCGCCGCCGCCGAGATTCGCAATCCCCGCCAAGTCGGGCCCGCACCCCTTGATTGGCCACGCGGGCCCCGGGCCGGCGCGCAGGAAGCAGCAAGGGCCCCTCCGCGGCGCCCCCAGGCCCGGGTCCCCCGCGGGCGGCGGCGCCGGGCCGGGGAGGGTCCGGGCGCGGAGGGCGTCCGCGGCTGGCCCCCACCGCCGCCTCCGCCTCCCGCTCCCGGCCTCCGCCTCCCGCTCCCGGCCTCCGCCTCCCCCTCCGCCTCCGCCTCCGCCTCCGCCGCCGCCTCCGCCTCCGCCTCCCGCTCGCTCGCTCGCTCGCTCGCGCGGGTCCCCGGCCGCCCGCCCGCCCGCCGGTCCCTCCTCCCGCGCGCGCCCTCCCTCCCCGCCCGCCCGCCCGCGCCTCCGCCGGGCCTCGCCCGCTCACCTTTCACCGAGCGCGGCTTCGCCTGCTTCCGCCTGGACATGTCCGGGGCTCCCGGCGCTCCGCCGCCCTGCGCGGCCGGCTCCCCCCGCCGCCCCCCGCCGCTCCGGGCCGCCCTGCTCCCCCTTCTCCTCCGCCTGCCTCTCGGAAACTTTTTTTTTTGCAGCCGGGTCGGCGGCTGCGGGGAGCGGATCGCAGGTCCGGGGCGGCCTCCCTTGGGGGGGCGGCCCGGGCCGGCCGAGGCCGCTCGGGGGCGGGGGGAGGCCCGGGGGGCGCGCCGGGGCCCTGCCTGTTGCAATGCGGCAGCCGGGGGCTCGCGGTCCCAGCGACGGTCCCAGCGGCGCGGGGAGTCCGGAGGCCACTCGGCCGAGCCGAGTTATGCAAAAAAAAAAAAAAAAAAAAAAAAAAGCCGCCCCCCTCCCCCTCCCCACCCCCCGCCGGCCCCCGGCCCCTGCGGCCCCCTCCCTCCCTCCCCCACCCCGCCGCCACCCGCACCCTCCTCCTCCTTCTCCTCCGCCCCTTGCCGGATTTTTGTGCAAAGTTTGCAGGCGTCCGGCCACGCAGCCCGGTGCGGAGCTCACAATGAGCCCATCTGAGGAGGGGGACGGGGCTGGAGCCGAGGGGTCTCAGGGGGGGAGGAGACCGGGAGGCGGTCCGGAGCACGGAAGCTCAGTGCCCCCCGGGGGGGGAAAGCCTTCAAATTATTCCCTGCCGCACACACAAAAAAAATAATAATAATAAATATTAACGGCTAAAAAATGTCCAAACGCCTGGTTTGGAGATTGTGATGGATGGGGAGGGGGGGTCCCTCAACTCAGCCTACTTGGGGGTCTCGAAGCGGCCTCAGTGGCTCAGAAGCCGCAGCTCGGGGGGCCCCTGGCTCACGCCCCCTTCTCTGGCTCTCGGCTCGGTCCGGCGCCGGCCCCCCGGAGGAGGAAGGGGCGCGCGGGGGCGCTCAGGCGGCGGCAGGCAGGCGCGCCCGTGCCCCGGGCATCGCTCAGCCCGTGCGCCGGGCCGCGGCTGCCTGCCCTCGGGCTGCGGCGTTCAGCGCGCGGCGCGCAGCCGATCCCCAGGCCGGTGCCGAGTCGCCGGCCCCGCTAGCTGCCTCCATGGGCCAGGGGCTCGGAGAAGGGGGAGGCGGCGACGGAGGAGTAGGACGAGCAGGCGGCGGCTGGGCTCCCGTCCTCCCGGGCAGCGGCGGTGGCGGCTGCGCCCCGGCTCCTCCGCGCTCCAGCCGGCGCCGGCCCGCCCGCCAGCCTCCCTTGCGCTCCTGTCTTCTTTGTGGTCGCTGGCTCTCCTCCTCCCGATCCGGCTGCTGGGGCTGCACTGCAGAGACACATAATAAAGCCAGGCTTGGCTGGAAATGTAGCCGGGTCCCAGCAGGAGGATGTGAGGAGCGGAGTCCCGGCGGGGGAGCGCTCTGATCCCGTGGGGCGCCCCGCACTGCTCCGGCTCGGATCAGACGGAGAGAGGGCCAACAGCACCGAGCGATGGACAGCGCTGGAAATACAGCTCCGGCCGCCCGCAAAACCCGGACCGCGGCGGCAGCGGCGGCAGGCACGGCGCGGGCGCGGACACCGCACCGGCGCGCGGGGCGCCGGCTCGGGCGCTAGCGGCGGCGGGGGCGGGAGGAGGAAGCCGACACGGGGCCCACGCGCGCTACCAGACTCGCTCAGATGCATCAGCATCACAAACTGCAAAAAGTGGGGGAAGGTCGGGGGGCCCAAACGGGGCGAATTGCCCCAGCATTGCCCCCTTCGAAATTTATGCCCTACGAACAAGAGTTGTCTATTCCTGGACGGGCCTGTTTCTCTGAGATTTTGCCCACGGGTTACTGTTTGAAGACCTTCGGCGCCCCATATGCACAGACTCCTAAGCCGCTGGGCTCTGCCCCCCCACCCCACCGTCACCACCAAATCCGCATTTGTAGCGTTCCCGCGTCTGCTGGCACACTTCTTAAGACTATAGAAGACTCTCTTAGCCCCAAAACCTGAATGTAACACTGCCTCCCCCCGCTGGGGACGAAAGAAACCGCTCCTTCTTTCCACAAAGTTTTGCCCCAGCCACCAGGGGGCGCCTTGTGTCCCTGCAGCTCTTGACCCGTTGCGGCTTCGCTGTCCCGCCCCGCCGGGCAAGGGCTCGGGAAAAGTCGGCCCCAGGAGGTTCACCTACTCCGATCCTTTACAGCCTCCCCTCCCCCACCCGCTGCAGGCGACCAGGTCCCGGCTGGGAGATCGGCCCCGACATCGCCCCCTCCCCCGCTCCCGGGCGAGTGGCGCCACCTTGGGCCGACTCGCCCCAGACCTGGGAGAGCAGAGCGGGTGCGCGGCGCGGCACTGGGGGTTATCAATCTCGCGGATCGATAAGTTGCCAGTTGGAGAGGGGAGGGTTGTGCCCCCTCGGAGGCTAGTTACCCAGGGCAACCTTTCACAGAAAAACCCGCTGCCCGCCGAGAGCCGCGCCGGGCCGACCGGGCAGCGGCGCCCGCCCCAAGCAGGGCGCCTGCGCCCCGCCGTTCCCCAGCCCGCTCGCCCCCAGCGGGGCCCGCGGTCCCACCCGGCCCCGCTCCCCGCTCGAGGCAGGCGGGCTCCTACTCGGGACTGAGTTGATTTCTGGGGGAGATGTCACCCCGCATCCCCGCGGCCAGGGAGCGAGGGCCCCGGGTTCGGGGAAAACGCCTGGGATTGGGGAAGACAACTTGACACCGGGAGACAGAGAGCGAGAGTCCCCAGAAGGGCCAGGACCGGGACAGAGATGTCCCCTAGCTGAGACCCCTCCCCAAGTTAGGCTGTCACCACCATTCTCCGCCCTCGCCCCGGGTCACCGCCCTCCCCAGCTCTTCCGTCGGAGGGTGTCCAACGTCTCTGCCTTCCCGGAGCGAAGTGGCAGCCGACCCCCGCAGCCCCGGGGCGGCCGGGATTAGACCGAGAGGGGGTGCCGAGGGCCAAAGCGAGGGCAGAGGCCGCGAGGCGCCTGGGAAGGAGCCAGGGAGGAGGGGCCGAATCTGCCGCTCGCCCACCCCCGCCGGCGCCTGGGACCGAGGCCCGCGGAGAGAGGCTGACAGGCGGCAGATGGCACGCGCTGGGGGAGGGGGCGATTGGCCTCGGCTCGGGGTGCCCCCGCCGCGGGCTGCTGGTCCTAGGGGGAGGGGCGGAGAACAGCCCCCGGCTCGCCCGCCCGGGCCCTCCGTAGGGGGGGCTGGAGACCTCGGATCCTGCCCCGCCGGGCGCCGGCAGCCAGGGGAGCGGACAAAAGGGGCTGGGTCGGGAGGGGTGCGGGGTGTGCTGAGGAAAGGAGGGGTCGCCGGGCGGGGACACCCCGCAGCGCAGGCCTTTCTCCACCCACAGGGCACTGCGGGAGGCCCGGAGGCCAGAGGTCGGGGGAACAGGATGGGGCGGGCCACAGCCTACCCACCGCCGGTCCCGGGCCAACCCACAAAGGCTGGGGGTCCTGCAGGGGAGGACAAACCTTTTCGTCCCCCTTCCCAGGGCGGCCGGCACACGTTCGCTCACCCTGTGCACCCCACTCCCAGGACCTGGCTGCCAGGTCCTAGCCGGGGTGCTGGGGAACCTGCACCTGGACCCCGCCCCCAAGCAGCTTTCTCTGACGCGTGTTTCTTTTTTAACTCCTTTGGGCCGGGGGTGGGGGGGCGGGGGGGGGGGCGCTATTTTAAGGAAAATTCCAGAGCAGCAAAAAGCCAGTAGCTCCCACTTGAAAGGGTCTCAGGGGGCACTGACTGAGGGTGGTCCTGCTGTCTGGGCCTGGCTCCTCACCAGCCTGGTGAGCTGGGACCAGAGAAAGGTCATTTTTCAGGCAGCATCTTATACCCCAGGTGCTGGCTGCCAGCAGGACACCCAGGAGGCTGGGCCACTTCCCTGTGAGAGGGGCGCCGCATCGCCTTCCTCAGCTGCCCTCCCCAGAGGAGTGGCTGGGAAAGACCTTGGTCAACTGTGAGAAGCCACCAGCATCCATACAAGAGAAATCACAGGCTGATGTTTTGAAAACAAGACCAGGCTGACGTGAATGGGCACTGTCCTTCCAAGTCAGAGCTTTGCTGGGGGAGGCGGCCCCTCTCGCCCTCCAGTGGGGCTGCCTGTCCCCACCCAGCTCTGCTGGGTCCCAGACCCAGCAAGGGAGCCTTCCACCTCGAGCTTCAAAAAGAGGCTGGTGTCATCGAGAGCAGGAAGGGCGACGAAAACAAGGTAGGACAACGGAGTAAAATGAAAGGGAGTTCCTTTTGCGGCCTCCACACTAGTATCCCTGAAGGGTCCCCAGGGCAGGGCAAGGGGTACTTTGACATAAATGACCAAGTGACCGCCTTCTCCCCAGCCACACACACTCTCATGTGTGCACGCACACACACTTACTGTAAGTGACACTCGAAATACATACAGTCTAGGTTTGTGGCTTCTGGGTACCGTTTTATCACTCGAAAGACACACTCTCTCCCTGGGAAAACCTTCATCTGCCTACAAGGTGCAGCCATCCTAGGGAGGAAAGACTAACAGCCCAGTCGTCGCCCAGGAAGGAAGTTCATGCCTCATACTCATTTGTTGATTCAGCATCCGTGTATCGATTATATGCCCACCATGGGCCAGAACTGAGGGTGACACAGGGACAGGGGCCCCAGGCCCTCCCGACTGGGGCTTCTTCTCACACGGGGAGGCTGGCTTTGAATCAGCGGCCACATAAATAATTATTGAATTTCAGTTTTAAAGGAGGAGTGTCGTGTAAGCAAGGCCCAAACACAGAGAGGGCTCTCAGCGGTGGTCTGGCCCAAAGCCCGCAGAGTGAGGAGGGAGTCCGGGCCCCTGGCAGAGTGGGCAGGGCGTGCGAGGGCCTGGGGTCAAGGGGTGCTGGGGGATTCAGCGGGGACGTTGTCACAGCTCGCAGCAGAAGGCCAAAGGGGCGGTCACAGCCAGGCACAGGAGCCCATCAGGTCCTTCTTTTAATCTGGCCCCGCTAGCGGCCCGGCTGGAGAAAACCCCCAACAAGGGACCCTCTGGTCCCCATTCCCTCATCTGCAAAGTGGGGAAGCAGATGCATGGCTCGCCTGGGAGTGTCCGGAGGATGTCACGCTAGCACGTGCTGCCTGCCTGGCCTAGGC